CCTCCACCGCGGCCACAAAGGCTTCTTTGCCATGCACATCCTGCCATCTTTTGTGAATGTCAGCTGCCTTGGTACGTAGGTGGACCAAGGATGTGGACGTCAGCATGCCCTTGTGGGCCACATGGGACAGTATGGAGCAAAATTGCCCCCAATACGCCAAGTCTCCTTTCTTCCACGGTGACAATGGCTTGGTGGCCGGCAATGGCTTCATTTCCAACGCCAAGTACCATCCCCGCCCTTGCTTCGGTTCCTTCAGGTTTTGAAGCACATACTGCTCTGCTTGATGGCACCATTCTGCACATTGTTGCTCCTTGGGGCCTGTCTGCCTTCCCAACCAGAAAATCTTGGGCGAGGCCTTGAAATCCTCCCATGACCTTGCGCCATCCTCCAACTTGGGTACCGCCGCATAATGAGTCAATTGCGGCAGGATGAGTCTGGGAGCAGCTTGATTGACCGTAAGGATCAGGCCCGCATGCGGTCTCCAGGGGACATCCCAGTGTACTTTGAGCTCCAGAAAAGGAACCACACACCTGCTAGCCAAGGCATAGTCAAGCTCAGCTCCACTGCCCACTGTTGCTTGTCCCGTGCACAGAACTTCAGCCTGCAGGACATTTAGCAGCTGGTGACCCTCCCATTGTTCAGGTGGCACCTGAAAGTCGCCTATGACTATCCACGGCACTGCAAGTTCTCTCAGGAAGGCGGCCATTTCTCCCAAGATGGTGGAGTTGGCCACGGAATTCAGATCCTCACCACACTTGAGGTAGATCGACACCAACACTAGCTCCCACTTTTGCCTCTGGAGGACATTGGCCAAGAAACCATTGCCATCCTTGTCATAGTGATGCAGCCTGTAGGCGGATTGCCCTTCTCGGCAGCAGAAAAGGTGTCCTCCACTGTTTCCTCCTCTCCCTGTCTCATGTGCCTGCATGAACTCTGCTTGCCATCGACTTCTGCTGAGGGCTGCTTTGGCTTGGTCCATCTTTGGTCCATGCAGGTGCGTCTCAACCATGACTACTGTATGGTGCTCCGTTTGCAGCAGCCACTCCTTGGCTTGGCCATTCCACTACTGGGTGATGTTGCTGTAAAAGACTTCAATGCCTTCCCCTGTGAGCTTCTGGCGCTTGATGGGCCTCTCAAAAGTCCCAATGGCCCGAGTCCAGAAAGGGGAATGCTCAGCCCTGGATGCCCAGATCATCACTGCATCTGTCTGGAAAATGTCCGGGACTGCCGTCTGGGCTTGAGGACACTGCCCATCATCAACAGACCATAGCGCATCCCCTTCCACCAGGAGAGTGACGTAGTGGCCAGAAATGAGCTCCTCCCCTTGATGGGCAATGACACCCCTGAGAGCAAATGTAGCTTGCCCCCCATGTCCCGTCGAGGTCCTCTGTGCACACTTGAAAGTCGAGGGGATGTACAGCCTGTTGTGATGTTTGACCCACGACTTGGCTCTGGGGCACAGATGATACCTCCCCACATGAAAGACAATGTGTTGGACGTCAGCTGCCAGGCACTGTCCATTGGCCTCGTTCGCCCATTCTTGCAACAGCTGTTCAAAACTGACACCATCCCCAGCTTCCACAGGCATCCGGATGAAAAGCGGGAGGGTCTCAAAGTCATGGTTTCTACCTCCAAACTGGGAGTGCCATGAGCCTTGCATGCCAGTTTGACTCCAATGCTCCCACAGCAACACCATAAATTCAGAGGCGTCATGTTGTGCCTGTGGGTTTTCCAGCTTGGCAATAACAGGTTGTATCTCAGAGGCCCAAAAGATGTCCGGTATGTCCTCCTGCTGGAGTAGTTGAAGGCACAAATTTGTTGACGGCCCCCAAAACTCACCAGGCTTGTCATGATGCGCCCCCATCCAGCACCACATCCGGAGGACCGAGTTTGCATAGCACCTATTGCCTGGATTGCGGATTGTCAGGGTCAAATTTGCTGCAAGCAACTCACTTGTCTGTGGCATGTCAATGACCTGCGTGACAGGTCGGGTCAGCTGTACATGGCTTTGAAGTGCAAGCCGCATTCGTAGGATGTGCTTTAGGGCCTCCAAGCCCCATACCCTGGTCTCAACCATCCCATAGTCCTGATCCTCTCTGCATTTGGCCGGCAAGGCCTGGATGGCCTCTAGTGCTCTCTGCTGCAACACCACCAACCTATCCTGCAGATGGCCTGGTGTGAGAAGGTCTGCATTCATTCGATCCTCATCCTCAAGGATGAAGTAGTCATCTTGATCTAATCTGCCCCCTCCCAAGAGGGCACATTGCTGCGTTCGAGCATAGTTGCTATCCCCAGTGCCAGTGGTCATTGGAGAAGGACTCAGGGTCCCGCATGAAGCAAGTCTGGGTTTCCCCAGCTGCTCTGAGGTCGTGGAGGGCGGTGCCCCTATCCTCTCCTGACCACTGACTTTCATCTGTTCTGTAGTCATCTCTTCTCTCTGGCCTGCCCTATTCCCGTCTGGCTTTGCAGCAAGACTGGCAGGCTCAGGTGCATCGTGCATCAGTACTGCCTCATCATCTCCCATGGCCCGGCAGGCATGGCGCATGCCTACCTTTGGTTGAAACAAAATTGCAAAATCTTGATCAACGCCCATGTGGATGCCAAAGTTGCCACTAAACTCACATGGAAAAGGAGTGTCAGGGTAACCTGTGACATTCACATACGGCTGCAGTCCTTGAAGGGCAACATGCATGGAGTCACCTTGCTGGAACTGCACATCATCCATCACCGTTGGCATCAACTCACCTTCACCTTGCTCATGTCCCCAAGCTTGATGAGGTGACCAATCACTTCTCCAAGTAGTCAAACATTCCCATCTGTTTGACTCAACCCCTGAACCCAAACATCTGGGTGCCAACCCCATAGTTTTCCTCCAGGACCCCTTCACTGCAGGAGAAACAACCCCATCGCCATCTTTTCGAGCACAAGGTGTCCAGCTGATGCTACCCACACAATTGGGCCTCATCAGTCTTTCGTCGCTTGGCCAATGTTTCGGCCAAATTGCGTTCCAATTCTTTCTGCTGCTCCGAATTGAAAAGGATGCCTGCCTGTCCAAGAGCCTTCAAAACATGCTCTGTTGCATCCGGGTCAAGCACATGTTCATGTGCCTGCGGAATCGGCACTGCTTCCTCCTTCAACTGCTAGCATACGCAGCCGATTGGTCTCCCAGCTGTTTGTGCTCCTTGTCAATGGCCTCTTGAACTGTCTTCAGCTCATCTAGCAACACCCGGTACTGCTCTTTGGCCTGGTCAACTTTGCGTTGCAAGGACTGCTTCTTCGTTGCCAGTTGTCTCAATTCCCCAACTGTTGCCTTCAGTTGGCCTGTCACATCAACCGTAGCAGCTGGGGCCGGCTTGATCAATCCTGCCACCACATCTTTGACTTCCTTGGGCAAGGACTCCAAATGTGCTTTCAAGACCTCTTCCAATGGTGGTATCTCCGGTTCAGGGGTGAGGTCAATGCCTGCCCCTTTCAAAGCCTCTTGAGTCTCTGCTGGCATAGTGGCCCAGGCCTTCCTCAGTGCAGCCTCAATCGCATTGCCCTCCGACTTCTGCCTGTTTCCTAGCCCAGGGGGAGGTTCAAGTTTGGTGCGGTCCCGCCCTCTGTTCTTCCTGGCTTTCTTGGTGGGTGACCAGCTATCAGTCCGCGTCTCCTGTGGTTTCCATGGCGTGCCACATTTGTTGCAGCCCCAGCGAGATTCATTGACTCTGTCAGCCCAAATCCATGAGGCGCTGCAGCCATGGCACGCAAGGTAGTGTCTGCGGCTCCTGACCTTGACAAAGTCCTGCTGATAGCCTGCCCACATCTTCACAGAACACAGAGCGCGGCCTCCTCCTCAACCTCTATGACTAGCAAAGGCAAAGATGCCCTGGGTATAGGATAGGACCCTGTCAGCCTCAGTCTCGTAGCACCAGTGCCGTACAAGGTGTCCAGGCACCCGGTTTGAGCCTCCTGACCCTTGAGCCAGGGGCTTGAGCCACTCTTGAGCCAAATGGCTTGAGCCAAAATGGCTTGAGCCAAAATGGCTACGGCTCTCTCTCTCTCTCTCTCTCTCTCTCTCTCTGCCCTTCAAAAGCCAAACAACCATGAAAACTTCAGGACCTATATAGTCAACTAAGTCAACTGACAGGGATGGTTGCCCGTCGTCCGATCACCAAATTTGCCCAGATGTCATCCATGAATCCAGGCCGTGGCTACATTGAAATCCGTGCAATGGAGGGCCCCCTCTGTTTGCTCTTTCGACGGGGAGTTTGCTGGAGCTTGCCTTGTTGCTTGTGGTACTTGACACCCATGAGTAACTGCTTGCAGATGCTTCCAGCACAGAGAACTCGTCCTATTGTTGCCCTGTTCCGGCGAGGCGCTCCCTTGGGCAAAAGGCTCTCTGCAGGGCGATTCTTCGCAATCTGCCGCTGGAAAGTTTCTTCAGGGCTTGTTCGCTTTTCATCCTCTTCAAAGTGCTCGTGCTATGGCGCCTTCGCCTTTTGGCTGATTAGCATGGTATCTCCTCCGCTCAGTTCGGCAGGTGTTGGAGCGGGCTGCCAGTGGCTGTTGCGCGGGCAACGTGTGACATCCAAGCATGAGCGAAGACTGCTCAATTCGAGGCTTCTGGGGCCACAATGGGCCACAGGCCACAGGCGTTTGTGATCTTGGACCATGGACGCTCACAATATGACCATTAAGGAACCATCGTGACAAGCCCCACATTGGATTGCGTGGATGATTTGCACATGCAGAAGACGCTTGCTAGGCTCTCATGGCTTTAGCTGCCTCTTCAGCTCGTACTTTGTAAAGGACTCATTGCCGTTTGTGCGCGTTGAAGGGCAGTTGGCTCAAGACAATATGTTGCCGCGATGAACGATGGTTTATTGCTGCAGCTCCTCTCGGCTGTTTGACACGACGCCCGGTTAAAGTGACAAAAAGATTGTTGCAGATCAGATGCACCAGAAACAAATCAGACCGTTTACGATGCGGTGTCAGGAAACACTTGGTCACTTGGTGTTTATAAATCAGACATAGATCAGACTATATGCGGGGCACATTCCCGGAAGCATGTCGGCCGTGAAATTGGAAAAAAAGGCACTGTGTTGGAGGGGTTGAGGAGCGCATAGTTCAATTCACTTTCGATTTGGCTGGCATTGAAGCATTTGCGCAGGTGGCGGCTCTTGAGCGGCGCTTGCAGAATGAGATGCGATTCATGGTGCAACCTTTGGCACAAAAGATCGACCACATCGAGGAGAAACTGAGGACTGAATCATTTTCGCTCTTAGCTTTCCCCCGTCCGTTCTGTCTTGCCCCTTGGCCTCCGGCCTTTTGGGGGAAGTTGCAGTCGGGCGTCTCTGTGAGACGGCTCAGTGACAAGTCATGCGCGCGAGAGAAAGAGAGAGAGAGAGAGAGAGCACCAATACAGGCATCAAACTGCTTTCACCACCGAAACAGAATGCACTGCAGCAAGGATTTGACTTTTTGTACTCCCGCAGGAGATTGGATGATATACTACCTGGCAAACTGGCACTGGCCGAGCAGCCAGAACCAATGGAAAGGGCTGAGGCTGAACCAGCTGAGAAGCCTGGGGGCTATTTGGTGCCTGGTACGGTGCCAGTAGTGCCAACCGTGGTCCATCCTGAAGGCGTTGGGTTTGCCAAGTGGAAGGAGGAGGTCAATGATCTTGAGGCGCCAATGGCTCTTACTTGCATACTAGCAACATTGCAAGTATATCTACAATAGTTCATTTTCAGAGTTCCGGGCAAACAACCTACTAGCAATGGCCTCCTACAAACGAATCAATGGAGACTGTATTGACATGTGGCCCACACCCAGCACCAAGATGGTCGCAGATGTAGGCTGCCCAGGGAGTGGGCATGTTTGCCGTTTGCAAGAAACATGAAATTGCGCATTTGCACACGCCAGCTTGCCAGCTTCAAACAATTTGGTCCGGTGCAAGTTAAAGCAACCTTTCTGGACGCAAGATTCCTGAACAGATTGCTCCGACTTCTCGACTTTGTCAGGGTGAGGGGGCCATCGATGAAGAACCTATTCCATTTGCGGAGACGGATTCTTGGCTCAGGGGAATTTAAATCACACTTGGGACCCTCAGTAGAGTCAGTAGAGTCTTTTTCACAATGGAAGGCTCTTTGGAAGTTCAGATTCTCCAACTCTTGAGCTGCGTGAGGTTTGGAACCTGTCACTAGTGCTTGGACACAGCAGGGCAGGATGGTTGGACTTGACCATAGCTTGCCTTCTCACAGTGCTGGGCAGCTTGACGAGATTGGGCAGTTTATGAGTGCTTCTGGAGTTGCTAAGTTTTTAGAACAACTGCAACGGCACAACGTCACCAAGTCTGACTTCCCAGGTGCACAAATGCAACCATACTAACTTGAGTGAGAGTATTTTTGATTACCCTGTGCAAGGAACTTTGATGCAGGTGTTCTTTATTGCCGTCATAACAACAGAGAGTTTTTTGGGAGAAAGCATGGAGGAACAGGCCGGATTGCCACAGAACTGGCAACTTTTGGCATAGTGTACTGGATGTTAAAACTGCTAAGATATGAAGCTGGTGAGATGATATTGCCAGTCCCTTCTCTTTCAAGGTGGAGGCAGCAAGGCACTGGAGGGCAGGCTCTGCACACGATGTGAAGTTGCCCGGCCGCCAATGGCCTCACAGAAACTCATGCAGTCACAGGCATGTGATGTGCACAGTATGAGGAATACTTCCCGTCAATCCGAAGTGACTTGCACTGTGTGAAGAACTCTCGGAATTTGCACCACAGTCTTGCCAGTCTACTCGTCTTTGTCTCAGGTACATGGACTTAGCACTGACAAGTCTTGTCTCTCGAGTCTGTGGCTGGAGCTGCATGAGATATTCTTGGGGCATGCGGCAAGCGCAGTCTCTTCAAATTGTTGCACACCTCAACCAGATCAAACCTGAAAGCCGAGGCAATGCAGACGGTGCTTTGATTTTGTCCACCGGTCAAGCTGAGCTCATCGAGGAGATCAACCAGTTTCTGGGGATCGACGCAGGGGACTTCCAACTAGCGATGGTTCCACCAGGTATCGTCCTTTGCACCCTCTGCATCATGCTATGGTGCGTCGTCTTGAGTGGGGAGCTCCGTGCTATTGGAATCTCTATTGTGGCAGCTGCTCAGATTCCACGTTCCGGGACGACAGTCGTCCGCAACGGCAGTCCGTGGCTCAGGTCAAGGGGTGTTTTTGCAGTTTGTGATTGATTTGTTTCGCCACGGCATTTCTCGCCAAGGCTTTCTGTCTATATCCTATCTCCGCTTTTCAGTCTATTTGCTTTTTCGGCTTGCACGGACTGCAGTAGCTATCAGCTTGATGTATGCTGGCACCCAATGGCTGGCACGAACTACAAACATAACGGATCTTATCTTAAATGCAGTTGCACTGGAAGCAATTCTGCAGATTGACGAGATGATTTTCACGATGCTATTTCCCAAAAGAGTCCAGGCCGCGATATATGAACTTGAGCCCGTGAAGGTACGATTCACTCGGAGGTGGGGTCAACTAGAATCATGCTTGGTCGGGTGCTTGTTTGTCGTGGTCGTGCTGGCGCCATTCATCAGCTGGGTACTTCCACTTGCTGACAGCATGCTTGCGGTGAAGTCCGAGTACTGCGATGGGAATAGGGATTTCGTCGTGAGTTTGAACCAGGAGATTCTGTGTGTTGTGAATTGGAGCCCCTGAAACTTCAACAGCTCATTGACGACATCATGAATCCACATGAATGAAGAAGGCTGAAGGTGACAAAATGACCTGCACTTGACTTGCAAGGGCCAAGCATTTGTCGTTGATCCGGCCTTTTTGCCTGGAGGACATGCAGATGTATATGGGCTTCCGTTCGGTGCCACTTGAGTCTGACAATGTCTCTGACAGTACCCTGGGACAGGTGGCAGTTGCTGAGCATTCAAAGGGCAGTTTGAGCAATGGGACACTCGGATTGCTCTCTACTTTGGACTTCTTGGAGTGTTGTTTTAGTGAACTTTCATGCACAGGTTTTCACCCCGACATACGCAGGTCGACCTTTAGGCACAAAGTGAGTGCTACCGTGTTTGGTAGCGGAGCCTCCTTCAGTGGAGGCTCCACCCCTCGGATCGGTCGTACCGCGCCATCCAGGGTCTTTTTTTTGCATTTTGCATCCTGCGCCTCCGCACATGGTGGCGGCCTCCCTTTCGACCTGCGCTTTTCTTTTTGTGTCCCTCCTGGGTGCCAACAACCACCTCTTCGAGCTCTACGAAGCGATCCCGGACATCGCGAAGGAGCTCGCTGCCATGACACAGGCGGCACCGCCTCCAGGCGGACTCCCACTCGGTGAGTTCCGCAAGGACACTCCTCCTGGATGGAGTCCTGGTGATCCCACATACAGTTTGAAGCTGTACATGGAGCGAATCCGTATGTGGTACAGGACCTTCGAAGGACCAGACGAGATGGTTGGCCCGCTCATCGCGGGCCGTTTGCAGGGCAGAGCTCAGACGATCGCTCACTCCCTTCGACTTCCTGATCCATTAGGCAACGTGGACGTTGGAGACGCTGCATTGGTCAGGTTAGCAGTCGAGGAAGTTCGTGACCCCACGAACCAGGCGATCATCCTGCAACATGCCATCCCGTCTGGAGTCCAGGCGCTGATGAACGCGCTGAAGGAGGCCTTTGGTGACGCCGAGCAGGTTCAGGCGACGAGATCTTTGGAGACCTTCTTCGACATGCGACGAGGACGACTCTCACTTCAAGAATTCGCTGTCGAGTGGAACCTCAAGCTTGAAGAGGCGATCACACACGCCGGGCTCCAGATCAACAACGTCGCCAAAACCTTCCTCTTCTTCAGGGCATCTCAATTGCCTCAGAAGCATGTGGAAGACATCCTGCTCCAGATCCATGGCGACATGCGGCGCTTCGATGACGCCAAGAATCTGGCCTTACGACTCGCCTCACGACAACAAGACCAAGGCCAGAGCTACTATGAGGCTCCGTCGGGATCTAAGATCTACAGCATTGAAGAGGACTACGCCCAGGACTGGACCGTGCATGACTCCGAGAGTCACCAAGATCCATGGTCGTCAACCAATGAGAACTACTGGCAAGAATATCCACCAGACGACCCATGGCAAGATTGGTGGCCTGAGCTCTACTACGGCGAAGACGAGAGCTTTGAGGATGTCTATGACTGGACTGGCTATGATTGGGCAGAGGACTACTGGCAGGACAATGACACCAGCCACGAATGGTCAGAAGAAGCGAACCTCAATGATCCCGCATCCCCATCCGTGACCGAGGACTACTACAAGGGCAAAGGAAAAGGCTCTCTGGGCCTGGGATGCACTGTCTGTGGATCAAAGTGGCACAATGCTTCTTCATGCCCTATGCAGAAAGGCAGTTCAGGACATCGAGATGGTCGTGGATGGCAGAAAGGAAAAGGCAAGGGCAAGTTCAAAGGCAAGCGAAGCAGCTTCAAGGGCAAAGGCAAGAAAGGTGGCTTCAGAGGCAAAGGCAAAGGCTTTGCTCCCTGGTCTCGTGACTTCAGCAAGGGCAAAGGCAAGAACTACATGACCTCCACCGTCTTCACCCATGAAGCTGACAACAGTCCCACGAAGAGCATCAGAGAAGCCAGACAACTGCACCATGCAAGGTTTGGCATTGATCTCACTGGCCCTTCTGCTGCGGCTTCATCAACGCCCGATGAGAACCCTGCCGTCCTGAACTTTGACATCAGTCGAGAAGAAGACTTTCTGCGACGCCATCGTGAACAAGCAGCTGAGCAGAGCAGTGAGTCCACCGAGACAGCACTCTCGTCTAAGAAGGTCTTGAACTTCCCGGTCATGATCCATCATGAAGCCGTGGACGATGTGACCCTCAGCTCGTACCACACAGTGGCTGGCCGTCAACGACGAGGTCTACTGGTAGATCCTGGCGCAGCCGCTGGACTAATTGGAAGCGAGACACTCAGAGATCTGGTGGACAGCTGCTTGAAGCCCTCCGGCTTGGACAAGTTCATCACCTGGAAGGAACGGAGCACCTCCGTGACGGGAATCTCCGGCAAAGGAGATTCGACCTTGGCTGAGGTGACCTTTGAGTTCGGCTTGGACGAAAATCATCGTGCTTCCTTCTCAGCCGATGTCATTGGAGGAGAAGGCTCATTGTGTCCAGCCTTGATCGGGAACCCAAGCCTCAGAGCGATGAAAGCAGTGCTGCTCACACAGTTCTTCCAGAACAATGATGGACTGCTCGTTTGCCACACAGACAACTCCTCAAGTCAGCCTACCATGATTCGGCTGCTCCTGACTGACTCAGGACACTACATCATCCCGCTCGATGGCACGCAGCATGTGAGAAAGGAGGATCAGAGAAAAGCAGTGCACTTCCTTGGACAAGTCCAACAGCAAGCACAAGAGAGATGGAGTGACTGCGCTGGCCATCTCCGCTATTGCTTCCAGACAGCAGTCTCTTCGGCACCCTCCGACGCAGAGCTTGAGCGGAGTGAAGAGAAGGCAACACATCATGCTCTACAACCTCGCACTCAAGAGCTACGACACGATGAACTTTATGCTCCACAACCAGATGATCCACCTCCACCTGCAGCAGTGCTGATGCCATCACCAAAGCATCATCATCGAGATCACTGGCAGAAACATGATGGACACTGGGTCCGACATCATGTTCGAAGCCGTCAAGCCCTCTTTTCGCCGCAGACAAGCAAGTTTCCAGACAAGCTCTCATCTCTGGAAATCACTCGCACCTCACACATCCTCTACGATGACGGCTCCACGGAAGAGATCTGCGACACATGGATCAATGATGACACTGCCCAAAAGATGCTGCTGAAGAAATGGACAGGAATGACTGTTTTCGAGATCAAGGAGGACCACTATCCGAAGGTTGAGACTCCAAAGAAGCAGGCAGCAAATGATGAGCACATCGAGGTCAGCATCGCCGACGCTGAGGACCACATCTTCTATGAAGAAGAGCTTCAGCACTATGAGGATGACCATTTTCCCGAGCACATCTCAGACCACAAAAGGACCTACCTCAAGAAGTTCTACAAGGCTGTGCCCGAAGAGTTCTATAGCCATTTGAAGCGAGCACCAGTCACGCCACAGAACTGTCTCTCCTGGCTTGAGCGAGCTAAGCGCAGCAAGAGGAAGTTCCACATGTGGGAAGTGTGCTCTGGATCGGCAAGGCTATCTCTTCTGGCTTTGCTCTCTGGCCTGACAGTCTGCTTCCCAGTAGACATGCGCTATGGCTGGGACATCGGCTATGGACCACATCAGACACTACTTCGACGTGTTCATGCAGAACTGGAACCAGAGTGCCTGATGGGCTCACCAAACTGCAGGCCCTGGTCTGTGTCTTCGAACAGTCGAGATCCTGAGGACACAGCTCGAGAAAGAGAAGAAGAGAAACCGGCACTCGATGAGCTGCAGAAGATGTGCAAGAAGCAACATCAACAACGCAAGATGTTCATGCTTGAACAGCCCTGGTCATCAGCACTATGGAACCATCTTGATCTTCCTGGAGAACGACAGAGGACAGATCAATGCCAGTTTGGCGCCATGAATGAGGATGGTTCTCCAGTGCTGAAGCCAACAGGATTTCAGTCGAACCGCACTCTACAACGATGCCTGCTACGATGTGGAGGACACGGCAAACCTCACGGCTGGCTCCAAGGACAAGTCAATGGCAAGAACAGAACGACACTTGCCTCGGTGTATCCACGGAAGCTATGTCATGCCATCATTAAGGACATCAAGAAGGCCGTGAACTTCGTGAGCCAGGTGTACTGGGAGTGCGAGCGCTGCAGTCTTGGACATTTTGCACCACGACACATGGAGCACACCTTCATGCCTGGTGAATGCCGATATGGCAAGTATCCTGATGAGGATCCTCGTTCAAGAAAGGCCAAGACCGCAGCCAAGGAAGAGAACCTCATGGATGCCTTCCGCCGTGAAGCAATGACAAATAGCAAGATAGCCAAAAGCACTTTGGCAACTGGTGCGGACTTTGGCTTCAACAGCGAGCAGGCGACTCTCCTCAAGTACGCCCTCTACAAGATCCTCTCAGAGAGCATGGCGGCATTCGATGTGAAGGAGAAGGAAAAGGACTACATCCACTGGCTTCGTGATCCCATCACAACAGCATGGATCCGACAGGTTTTCAAAGAGCAGATCACCGTCTCTGGAGTCTGTGCGCATCTACAGCCATGGACGAAGCCGGTGCCGACGCCACATCTTAAGGCTGAGGAAGCTTTTCTCCGCTTGATGATTCGAGGCAACATTGAAGCCTGGAGATTGCTGCCGCTGGAGGATCTTCGTGAGCTATCACATCATCAATGTCATGAGCCAGTCGACTTCGATGAGGATTGGCTTGTGTGCGTGTTCGGCAAATATCCTTCAGCAAGCTCATCAAAGAATCCTGCACCGGTTCTGCCTGACACACCAGCGCCAAAGACACCTATGCCTGGTACACCGGCATCGAAGACACCTGCTCCTGGCACACCAGCACCAAGTACGCCAGCTCCTCCAAGAGTTGAAGTGAAAGAAGAGCCGGCAGAAGAGTTTCAACCAATAGATGAGGTCATGCCAGTTCCATATGAAGATGAAGAAGTCCAAGTGATTGAGGCGGATGAAGGCGAAGCAAGCACCACCATCAAGCCTCTCTATGACTTCCGCCGCATCTTCAAGAAACTGCCCTCATTGACCACAACAGATGAAGCAAAAGCAAAACGCCTTCTGTTGGGACTCCATGAAAGAATGTGGCATTGTCCCGTGATGGACTTCAAGAACGTCTTGGCTCGCTGTGGCATGCCTCCTGAAGTTCTACAATTGGCAAAGACAGTGGTTTCAGCATGCGCTGTCTGCAGGCGCTTCACCCGAGCCACAAGACGTCCTCAGGTCAAGAGTGGCCTTGCAAAAGATTTCAATGAGGTGCTCCAAGTCGACTTCTTCCAGTGGCGTTCTGATCTGTTCATCTGCATTGTGGACGAAGCCACTCGCTACAAGGTCGCTGGACGATTGAAGTCACGTGAGCTGAGCAGTTTTCTGGAATCGATGATGCAGCTGTGGTTCCGCTATTTTGGGCCATCCAAGAGAATTGTTTGTGACCAAGAAGGTGCTCTCATGTCGCAAGAAGCTGCTCCTGAGTTTGATCGCCTTGGCATCGAACGTGTTCCCATGGGCACAACGAGTGGAGCAGCTGGAAAGAAGCACACTGGAACGGGCATGGTGGAAAGACATATTGGCCTCTTGAAGATGACCATGGCCAAGTGTGCGACAGAAGCTGCAAGGTTCTCCATCACACCTGAACCTGATGAGTTGGCGGCAGAAGCATCGATGGCACATAACCTCACACTGAACATTGGAGGATACAGTCCTTCCATGATGGTCTTCGGCATCCTTCCTCGCGGCTATCTAGATGTTGAAGAAGTACCACTATCAGTGGCAAGCGCAGACATGGATCAGTCTCCCTTCGAACGTGCAGCACGATTCAGACAGATCGCACTTCAAGCAGCACAAGCATCCATCCTAGAAGACAGGATCGTGCGTGCCGGCCGAACTCGGCCTGAGAAGCTGGACCTGTCCAATCTCATTGCAGGCTCCACGCAAGTTGAGATCTACAGAGATGATGGCAACTATGGATGGAGAGGTCCAGCACTTCTTTTGAAGATCAACGACTCCGATGGCACATGCATCGTAGAGTACCAGGGACGACCATATCTCATGAGTCTGCGCCACATCCGGGTCTATCGAGGAAGCTTCTTTTCTCATTGCCTGGCCGACAACCTGGAGGAGATTTGTGAACAGGATCTGCTTTCGCTGCAGCAGATGGTTGAAGAGAGTGATCCCTACAAGCTGCACACCATTGGCTTTCTTCTCAAGAATGCCGCAAATGCCTCTCTAGAATGGGCCAAGGTTCCTGCCGAGATGACAGAGAAAGAGAATGAATACTTGGCCAAAGCACGAAGAGTGGCATCCTTCTTCAGCAAGAAAGAGCTGCATGGCATTCGCTATGGAAGAGCTGTCAAGCAGGTCTATGTTCCAAAGTTCTCAAAAGGCGTCTTGATCTCATGGCCAAAAGGATCCAAGCAGTACGTGATGATGGAGCACAATGGAGACAGTCATTTGGTGCTCAAGAAGATCATGCATACAGTGCTGGAAGATGTTTGTCACCTCTATATGTACTACTTCACCATCTATCATGAGGAATCGCCCCCAGCACAGATCACATCACGACGACCTCCTGAAGCACCGCAACAGGATCCTATGGACACCTCAGAGTCTCGAAAGCGAGATGGCCCTGAGACAAGAACTATAGTCATGGCACCTGAGAAGAAGAAGGCGCGCTATGAGTATGCAGAAGATGAAGGTCCCACAGAACAAGAGCTGCTCCTGAATTCTCTATGGTGGATGACGAAGCGACCACTCAAGGTCAACTACCCGAGTGACGAGATCTGGTTTGACAATCACTCCCTCATCATGCAGTACAACAGGACTCCACCAGAGAAGACAGCCACGCCGAGCTCACCACGTCCCAGGCACTACATCTTCCACCTCCACGGGAAGACTGAAGAGATCCTCTACATGGACATGAGGACCACAGAGATCTTTCGAGTGGATGCCGACACTGACGTGATGACAGAAGAGAAGTTGGCACCGCATTGGGACGCCTTTGAGCTCTCGGATTTTGCAGAGCTGAAGCAGTTTGTGGATGAAGGAGCATTCTTCAAGATGCACATCAGCCAGGTGACGGAAGACATGGTCATCGTTGATTGCACATGGGTCAGGAAGTTCAAGAGGAACCCCGACAAGACCATGAAAGCCAAGAGCCGGCTGTGCGCCAGAGGATTCTTGGATCCTCAGAAGGCATCAATGCCCACTCGCTCTACGACAGCTACAAGGTTGTCACAACGGATTCTGGTCAGTTTGGCTGCTGCCATGAACCTGGAGATTGAGTCACTGGATGTCTCCGGGGCCTTCCTCAAAGGCCTGTCATTTGACCAGGTGCGGAAGAAGCTGCGTGAGCGAGGCGTCTCTCCTCGACGCCTGGTGGCCATCATTCCACCAGCCAATGTCTGGCGCCAATTGGCCAAGATGGACAAGAGCTTCGACATCCCAGAAGCTCAGATGAGCGAATACCTTTTGGGCTGCAACAAGCCGGTCTATGGTCTCAACGATGCTCCCCTGGCTTGGCAGTTGTGTTTGCATGAGTTTGTGGAGGAGCTTGGTGGCCAACAGTCCGTGTTCGACGAGAACATGTTCTTTTGGAAGACCGATGGCCTGGTGAGCACCATTCTCACCACTCACGTGGACGACATTGCCGTGGCCACGAATCCTGAGATGCTGGAAAGCTTCCACAAGAAATTCACCAAGAAGTTTGGTAAGGTGACACGTGAAAAGATGCCCTTCCAACACTGTGGCATGGTGTATGAGAAAGTTGCACAGGGCTACCGCATCCAGCAATATGACTTCACAAGCTCCTTGAAGATGACTGAGGTTGAGAATGACAAGGACGAGGAGCGCTCTCTCACCAAGGAGGAGACCACCAAGTACCGCTCCATCCTGGGCGGCCTGTTGTGGCTTACGGCCACCCGCATCGACCTGATTGCGGACGTGTGCCGCCTGCAGACCTTTGTCACTCAAGCCAAGGTCAAACACCTGAAGATGGCAAACGCCATTGTGAAGCGTGCCCAAGACAAGAAGTACAAGGACTTGGGCATCATCTACCGGCATCTTCCTCAGAATGCCTCATGGAGACTGGCATGCGTTCATGACGCCAGTTCGGCTTCGCAGGGACGCACCTATGCCAACGAAGGCATCATGGTTTTCCTGACTGTGGATCGCCTCAACCTGGACAATACCATCCACGAGATTGACGGCTTGCATCATGATCCGCAGATCTTTGGAGGACCTGCTCATTTGCTGTGGGCTCAGGGCAACAAAGCAAAACGCATCAGCTACTCGACCAGTCACGGAGAGACCTTAGCTGCGATCAATGGCCTGGAGTCTTCATCGCTGGTCTCTTTGAGGTTGGGTGAACTGCTCATGCCCGACAACAAGCCTTCACTAGCCTCTCTGGCTGCGCTACAGGAGAAAGGAGTGCCCTTCCTGCCGGTCGACGTCTATACCGACTGCAGAGACTTCTATGAGCTCACCACAGGGGTCAAGGCGATGCCCCAGGACAAGGGCCAACGCATCTACATCATGGCACATCGTGAAGCCCGTCTTTGTGGACGCATCCGGTGGGTCATCATGATCCCTACGCAGTGCATGACAAGCGACGCACTGACTAAGGTGATGGTTTCCACATCGCTCAACGAACTCCTCACAACTGGAATCGTGCGATTCTTCAACGTGCCGAATCACCCCATTGAAGCTCGAAGGCTACCAGTGCTGCAAGAAGTGGAAGAAGGACATCTTCACCAAGGAGATGAACAGTTGCTTAAGAGCTTGGCTTCATCATCGACGAGCCCTACTACCAGTTTGCTGGTGGCACTATGCTTTCTCGCCGTCTTCCAAGGTGGCGAGGCTGCGACGAAGGAAGAAGAAGATGAAGGTGACAAATCACTGTACTACATGATGGCAGTGATTGCTGTGGCTGCAGTGGCTCTGTGGCATATGGCTGGAAAGCTGTTGCACCGAGTGCTCAAGTGCTGCATCCGCTATGCCAAGGACAAGGAAAGCCAATGTGACCTGTTCTCAACATCAGGTCTGATTGCAGAGGTCAAGCGGCTGAGGCAGCAGATCGAGGAGCTCGAGAGGGAGAAGTCAGGCCTGATGGCCGAGAAGATGGCTTTGGAGAAGGACCTGACTTGGTCCCTGAATCAGACCAAGCTGGAGGAGACGGCCCACACTCGTCTCCGGCACCGACTTCGCCAGTACGAGGACATCACGTCCACCTCGGCAAGTTCCGCTGCGGCTGAGCGAGGCCTTGAGTTGCACAGGGAGCTGTGCCCCTTGGGAAAGGAGATTTACTATGCTCCGACAGGGGAAGTGTGGCACGCCAAGAAGAGCTGCCATGTTTTGCAGGGTCGAGCGACCCATAAAATTTTGAGCCGAAGAGCATGCACCCACTGCTCCGGCTGACACCACTCCAACGCAAAGCAAGAGCGGAGTGAACTTTCATGCACAGGTTTTCACCCCGACATACGCAGGTCGACCTTTAGGCACAAAGTGAGTGCTACCGTGTGTTTTGAGAGGGACAGGGAGGGTTTGTGTGTGTATGTTCGCACGTGACGGCGTTCTGGTAAATCGTGACTCGGGACGGTTCAGGTCGGCCAGGTACATTTCCTTCTCGCTTGACTTGGACAGCTTTGAGTTGAGCCGTGTCAGATCAATGAAAGAGGCAGCAGAGCAGTTTGCGTTTTGCCTGGACTATGATCAGTGGGCCGTGAAAGGTCCGACTCTGTTGGAGAACTACGGCTCGTATTTCCGATCCGCAGCTTTTCATCTTGGACGAAGTGAAGCCACTTCTTGCTCTGAACTGTCTCAGTGGTGCAATGTCTTGGATGCCAGGCTGTTGCGACTGGTTTGCCCTCGCACCTGCGGCTGTGCTGATCCTAGAGCGTTGCCGTGGTACAAAGTGCCAAGCCAGGGCTGTCCCCAGGCATGCCGAGACGAAGCCAATGCCATAGCTGGGAACTTGGAGTGCAAAGATGCCAACACCACCGAGAATTGGCACGACTTTTGGGATCTATATCCCACAGTGATGTCATCCCTTGTAGGCGTGGACATGCTCAGCACTCCTAGTGGTCAAAAAATCCTGGCTTTGATCCATATGATGAAATCGATTGGATGTTTGGGCATTTTTATCCTTGGCTCTCGGGACCCAATTTCTCAAGCCGATTGGTGTGAGGGGAGTGAGCGATACTTTGCGCCACTGGCACTTGTTTGCCCAGACACCTGCGGATGCTTATCCGAAAGCAGACCGGCTTACTGCCCAGCAAGCTGCAGAGGCTGTGGCGACGCCCCAAACTTTCCACCATCCTCAGCGGCAACGAACTGTGAGGAAGCAAAGCTGCTTGGAATTTGCAGCATTCCAACTGAAGCAGAGCAATTGTGTGCTGAAACCTGCGGGCTTTGCAATGGGACCAACTCCAGCAACATGAGCAACACATCTGCTGCTCCATGTTTTGATGGAGATGTGCCCGGTGCTTTTGGATTCAACTGTTCGACCCTGCAGGCCATGCGCAAGGGGGAGTAAAGGGAGTCAAAATGGCCACACCCACAACAGGATTCAAACCTGTCACACAACATGTCTAAAAATAGTCGAACCATCACCGGGTCACATAAATGTATATTCAGGGGTTGTACCCCCCCATTAAAGCTAGCAGCTATACATTTCCTGGTCTCCAGATTTCACACCCCTGGAAGTGATTCTGTATATGTAAAAAAACATATATGTATTTTACGAAAGCCAGCCGATAGGCAAGGCTTGAGCTTTTAGGGCAAACGAAGTGAGTTAAGGGGGTGTGGGGGTGGGGTGGCCGCTGAGCGGAACCTTTTGATCAGGTGAACCCAGAGCTTGGTGGGGGAGAGCAGTGAACATGGGGTCTGGTGATGCGAGTGATGTAATGGACGCCGAGTAGTGCATCATTAGCGTCATGAAGGGCATTGAAGACTATTTGTGGAGACAGGGACCCACGTATAATGAAGCGGCAGCTGGCTTTCGTCTCCCTTCTCAGGTATGACTTTCCAATATTGTACATTTTCCCCACCTGTCCGGTGAGGGCTGTTAGACTTTATGTCAGCTGCCGTCCTCCTCCTCCGCTTCCTTCTCCGCCTCCCCTCTGGACCGCAGCCGCGGGTGCAGGATGGCAGTGTTCGCCGCTGGGCCTCAACCGCAAGCGCAGGATGGCAGTGTTCCCCGCCGGACCTCAACCGCGAGCTCTGGCTGGCAGTGTGCCCCGCCGGACCTCAACCATGAGGTCCGCTTGGCAGTGTTCCCCGCCGGGCCTCAACCAGCACACAACCACAACCACAATCACAAACAGTTTAAACACACAACCACAAACATAACCACAAGCACACAAGCACAAACATGTCACAAGCACACAGCCACAAACAGCCACAAACATAAGCATAAACGCACACAATCACAAACACACAGCCACAAGCACAACCACAACCACAAACACAACCACAAACACACCCACAGACACACAGCCACAAACACAACAACAAACACACAGCCACAACGCAGAACCACAACACACAACCACAAGGACACATGTACAGCACACAACCACAGCACACAACCACAACACACAACCAAAGCACACAACCACAACACACAGCCACAATCACAGCACACAACCCGAGGACCCACAAAGAAAGTCGAGAACCACAAAGCTCACGACCACGGCAGCATGCTCCTCACAGGTGGGGGTCGCCCGAAGTAAAGTAATTTACTTTGGACGTTTTAAGTTGATACGATGGTTGTGGATGCCCCACGCCCCGTCATACATTTCCTTACAAGGTATGCTTCCTCAGGCGGTTTCGTCCCTGGCTTTCATACACTATCAGGAAAATCAGCTATATATCCTTTGATATATTTAAGCATGTTGTGCGTTTTTTGTTGACCCTGTCCCCCTATGGCCGCTGATGCCAAAAAATTAGATGTGCATCGGTGAGTGCGTTCCCCATGCATACAATTCGGGTCTTGATCCCCTCGCACCTTCAGACATATCCCAAAACCGGTGTTTTTCAACACCTGTCCCCCCCCACCTGCATACATTAAAAACAGTATTTTTTGATCCTTCCTCCCTTTGTAGAGTTAGACTCGATGATGTTGAACCTGTTAAACATTCCTTCCAGCACAGAGGGGGGCATTTGCCTCCCACCCGCAGCGATACTGATATATATATATATATACTGTATATGTACAAAAAATAAATATACATATATAAGAGTAGATTGTGCTGGTTGAAATCCGAAGGTGAATGGGTGGTGTCCCATGCTCATTGCCTTCAATTCACCTGCGAGTTCCTCGTCCTTGGGTGTTTGAACATTTTAGAGAGGGTCGTTGGACTTTGAGGCACTTTATTGCTATTATTTCTTCGGGCTGTCCCGAGGCAAAGTATGCTCCAAGACATGCGGACTGTGTACGTGATGAATCAACGTATTTTAATGTATATATTTGTTGCTGCTAATGAACCACACATCCGCGCTTAAAGCGGGATTCCGGTCAGCATTCGAAGACCGAAGAGCTGGCTTGCGAAGAACTGTGGCGAGGTTACAGACATGCATTCGGACATAATGAGCATACCTGTTGTCGCCTGTTGTCATTTCAGAGTCCGGATTGGCATGCACCAATCCGTGCATTTTTCTTGACATGTTATTCAGACGTTATGGCATCCGGAGCAAGGGGCACTTGTTGTTCTCCTACACGTGGGGATTTTCCAGTATCATAATTTCATGCTTTGGCCCTGTGTGGAATAAACAGGTTCCCTGGGCATTTCTTTGGGATTTTGCCGGGCCGAGGTTTGGCAATGGGTCGAGGCATGGAGAAATTTGACTGCCTACTTCCGGCTGCGGAGTCCAAGGCAACAAAGGAAAGCTCCGCCGCACTTTTCGGCTCCAAGTACGGTTTAGCACAGGCCTCTACGATCTACCTTGGAAGCTTACCCCCAAGCTGCCAATCCATGACTCGCCAATTGCTTGCTGTGCTTTTGGTCACAGCTGCCGCACAAGAAATCTCAGAGACCCAGGCCAGAGACGCCCAAGTCTGTGTGTTGCAGTCTAGGTCAGTCTATCCTCGAGACAAACTGAGAGGTGACAAATGGAACCCTTGGAACGCTTGTGAACCCCTGCGGAACCCTGGGGATCCCTTGCGTCATTTGATCAAGTTGAATTTTCGTTTGATGAGGAAAAGAACGGTATTGAAGCGAGTAAGCGCTCCCCTGCAATCAAGGGTCGAGGAAACTACACCCCAGAAGGCTAGGATAGGCTCCAAATGCAACTGTATGCATGTAATGTGCAGTTGTTGCCCTGTTTTTAGTGTAGGCAAGTTTTGGCTTTGTCGTTCTTCATTTTGCCAAACCAGTGCCGTGACTGTGAGTTAAGGGTTCCCTGGAACCAATGAATAGCGCGAGGGCTTCTCTGAAGAAACCTGAGCTTTCCTGTGTCCAAGCTACTGTAGCCGGCTAGTAGCTTGCTAACCCACTCTTCTGGTCTCCTTTATGAAAGAGCATGCACACACACAGATATATGAGCCACGGTCAAAACATGCGAAGACCACTTTAGTAAAGAGGGGTAGGTTTGTGCACAGAACCCTGCAAAACGATAAGGTCCACCTCAAAACCGATAACCCCAGCGCTGTATATGGTCATAAGTATGCGACGAACTCAAAACGCTGTAAAACGATAAGGTCCACCTCAAAACCGATGACGTCCATTTTTTAGCTGAAGAAGAATAAGGAGTTTTGACCGTCCCTCATATATATATATATATATACTTATATTTTTATTTATATTTATTTGTTTATTAGTTTACTTATTTACTTATTTAACTTTATGCTTGCGAAAATGGAGGTCGGTCTTGACGCTGCGTGGCAAGATGCGAAGTTGCTGCTGTCCTTTGCCGTGGGCATCATCTTCATGAGGTGCTTGGAGGTGCTGGCCGTTGGCCGGGATTTTTGGTATTCATTATATATGTACAGTGTTGGTCTATTTTTGTTAGACGATAGGCCGTAGGAGTAGGCTTAAGTGGCTACTACCCAGCATCTTCAAGGAACCTCCCCGACGCCCTTCATTTGGTTCCTAGATTTTTGAGGAGACTTAACTTGAGTGAGGGATTTGCCACTGCAGGCTGAATGAAGTCTGCCTTTTGAAAGTCTTTTGCAACTGAGGATGAACATCAGGGACGGGCTAAGACCATCGACCTCTACCCATTCTTGACATAGGCAGATGGCACGTACAACATCATTTCCGTGAGGGAAGCCTTGATCTTGCTGTGCAAGCATTGCTTAAAAGAGTGTCCCCTTGAATGAAACATGATTGCACACTTCAAACTGCATGTTGAGCATCAAGAACTAATATGCGCTCCTCACATGATGCGCGTAGCTTTGGAGCATCAAGTGGTAACGACTGAAGCTGCCATGGACACGGACGTTTGCTCCTAAGCAATGTTTTGCTCCTAAGCAATAGATATATAGACATAGCTGCCAAGCTCATTGGGCTACGTGCAAAATTTCAATTAACATGTAAGCACACTTCATTGGGACTGCAATCGCGCTGGCAGACTTGTATGTCAACGTAAGGTGTTGAAAGTTTCCATCCTGAAAGCATATCAAAGCACAGCCATATGCTTCTTGCTATATTAGCTATATATAGGCTTTGGGGCCGGCAGATGCTGGCTGTGGCCTCGTATTGCAATGGCTCAGGACTCTCTTAAAGATCAACAAATGCGGGGTAGTATCAGGTAGTATCAATGGGTAGGCTCTGAAGAGACATACTGCATTTTTTCAGTGCTAGTGACTGTGCAGTTTCTTCCCAGGAGGCCTCGCCCTCGTTTCGCAGACGGCCGCCCATTGGGCCAGCCCATGCATGTGCTGAAACGAGCGGGGGTGAGAATTCATGAATCAAGACTAAGCCAAGAGCTGCGTTTTCAAAAAGTAGGCCCTTATTCCGCTTTCTATAAGAGCAGAATCACAAGTCGTGTCGTCGTGAGATGGTACAACGCCCGTAGCTGAGAAGCTGCCAAGCCCTGACGAGCAAACGAGTAGCTGAGTAGGCAGTAGATCAGTAGGAGGTGCGATGTCCAAAATGGCAGTGACACCACGTCCAAAGAGAAGGCAGAGAACGCAGGAGATGGAGCTTACACCATCGCCGCCGCAGAGGAGATCTTCTCGTCGTCAGACTTTGGAAGAAGTCTGTGAGAAACCGGTAGACATGGCCGCGACACCCACAAAGAGAAAGAGAATCAGTCAACACCCCGAACTCACAGCCACACCACCGAAGTTGCCAAGAGCCAGGCAAGGCATTGACCCCCAACAGGTTGCGGAGAAGGCTGCGAAGACGTTGACAGAAGAAGTGCAGGATGTCAAAGAGACTAAGGAGATGAGCCAGACGAAAGCTATGTTACTCTTGCTTTTTGATGGCATTGAGACCGTGTTGCAGCTCAGAGCTTCCAGGTACAGGATCACCTCGTTCGAAAACCTTCAGCAGAGTGTTGAGGCTTCAACTGCTCGAGACTTGACAACAGAACGTCTACAGCAGGTCTTGGCTTTGGCTGGTGGCATGTTGGAAGCCGTGTGGATTGGCACCGAAAATCCCTACTTGTCAGTAGAGCAACGAGACAAGGAAGGAAAGTTCCTGCGGCCAGAAGGGGCTGAAGTGTCTGAGCGCAGGGTCAAGTTTCAGCAAGCTCTTGCCGCTGTGACATTTGTCGGAGCAGACCCAAGTAAGTCGATTCCCTCAAAACCGCTTCCACCACCACCTGCTCCACCTGCTCCTCCTGCTCCGGCCTCGTTGAGATCTGAATCTGAGCCGGTGGCCCCTGAAGTGGGGAGGGTCGCAGCAGCGAAGCTGTCCGAGCTGGCCCAACTGCCCAGTTTAAGGCGCACTGGTAGTTACAAGCAACGCATGGAAGCGGTGAAAGCAAGAATCATAGCCAAGAAGGCAATTGTGGAGAAGGAGCAGAAGCACCATGCAGAATTCCAACGGCTCCTAGATGGCATCAGTGCTTGTGAAGATGTTTCGACTGCCAGGGAGATTCTTGTCCATTTGTTTGCTCAGCCTGGTGAGGGGAAGGTGGCAGTCGTAGCAGAAAAGAAGATCCTTGGAGCACTGTGCTCTTGTTCCTATGCTGAGCAGTGCACTCGGATGGTCAGCCTTGAAGCAGGCAGGGCTGCATTGGCGCAGCTCAAAGAGCTCGGAGAAGGCGCTTGGTTCTCCGTGATCCCTGCTCAGCACTCGAGTGACGTTTTCTGGCGCAGGATTCAGGGAGGGAATGATGCAGCAGTGCGTGCCACTTTGAGCACCAAGATGCGAGAACTTCAGGAAGAGAAGAGACAACTCGTCTCTTCTGGCTGGTGCCCATCTTTAGAGAAGCAGAGGGTGTGATCTTCACGCCACTGGGGTTGAGTTTGCTTTGCGAACAAAGCATGGGATAGTTTTTTCTTTCTGGTAGGTTTAGCTTCACTGTGGATTGCAGTGAGTTGGGTTTCAGTAGTGAATGCTACTGATGTGGTTCTGAAACATGAGCCAGTTTGGACGTAGGATGTGAGGAGACCGGCAACCACTCTGGAAACAACTAGATTGCTTGGTACTGTCCTTGGAGCAGCTGACGCAAGCTGAAGTGCACTCGCTGTGCAGCAAACATTGGATCCGCCAAGCTCACTTGTCATTGCAGGCGGCTGCACCTCCTCTTCATCATGATTGGGCTGGTGGTACTTGGCGGCCGGCAGCCGAGTGCAAGAAATGCAGAGTTTCATTATGCTTCATGTGCGGAAAGTGTGGGGTAGGGGCAGTCGCGGATCTCTGATGTGGATACGTGTTCGAAAATGAAAAGCGTCAGCTGTCCTGTGTCCAGTAGCTATATAGTAGCTTACTCAAGTAGGCGCCTTTTTAATCAAGTAAGGGTGAGGGCAACCCGGGCTAAAAAATAGAAAAGCACGCGTGCTGTTGCTTTCTGCTCAAAGATTTGCAGTCATGCCTGGCGTGAAGCCAGTCACGGTGGAGAGCCGGGCAGGGATTCAGTCCCGTGGCCTGGGATACGAGCCATCATGGAGTAGCAACTTGGATCGTGAGTGGCCGTTGGTGTTCGAACTTATATATATATACATATACATTGTTTAATTCCTGCTAACTTTCTGCCGAAAGTTGTGAAATGCAGACTAAACCCTTCGTCGGAAACCCAAGCCTCTTACTCCAACAGCAGGGATTGCAATACCCTGGGGTTAGCGCCCTTTCCTCGACCTCATGATGCGGCTTGTCACCGTTGGTTCTCTTTGCCAGGCATCCCCTTCGAGAGCTATGAGGGCATGACCCAGCTGCAGTTTCAGGAGGCAAACGCGCCATTTCTGAAGCATGGTGGTCAGGCCGGTCTTTATGAAGCAAGATCACTTGACTGAAGACGATCAGTCAGGAAGTTCCCACGAAGCTTCGGTTCATGGACACAAACCAGACGATATCATACAACTATCGAACCCTCTCTGCTTAAAGGTGCCTTTGCACATCCCTCCTGGCTGGCGCCGGGTGGAGTCCAAGATGCCAGGCAAGGCTGCTGGGGTGCCACACCAGGGATGCCTTCGCAAGGCTTTTGTGCCCTTCAAGCCAATGACCCCTTGCTCTATGGTGGAGGCAAGCACTTCTACGTGCAGCGCGAGACTGGGACGATTCAGCGGATGCCAGCAGATATCTTCCACCCGAAGGCACACCGGGTCAACTTTAGCTCTCCATCCGATTCCTTTTAACATGCGTACTGTATATATGATGGAATGTGTTTGTATAACAGCACTATATATAGCTCCCCTGTAACCATTCCTAACCAGGAGAAGAGCTGGATGACTGCTGATGGGAAGCGGATCGCGGAGGAGCCTTCTGCCAGGTCTTCATTTCTCGTGTTTGTTCCGAGCGTGTGTATGCCGGACCGTTGGCAGGTCGTTTCTTGTTGGGTTCTATCAGGATGGCCTCAATGACAACATGCCCGACCTGTTGGCACTGGAACTGGCATATGGAGGGGGAGGAAAGGCAAAGAAGGCGAGCCATGTGTTTGTGGCTAGTAGGTTGGAGGCCATTGCTATTAGGCCATCCCAGAGCGTTGAGCAGAGGCGGTGGTGAAGCCAAAGGTGATCCCAGTGGCACTGCCTGAAGAGCCAGAGAAGCAGGAAAAGCCCAAGGCAAAGCATCTCAAAGCAAGGATTGAACACCGTCAGAGTAGTCGGAGGTTTCTGTATAGACACAACAAAGTATTATGTGCCCATATGATGAAAGAACAATCAAGGAGTGAAAAGACTCCCGGGCCCGCACCCTCTCTCTCTCTCTCTGTGTATATGTATGTGATGTGATGTGATGTGATGTGATGTGATGTACTGTATGTATGTATGTATGCATGTATGTATGTATGTCTGTATGTATAATGAATTCGAGACATGTGCTTCTCATTGGTGATTGCATGACAGATGATTTTGCACAAAGACAGACACAATATGGTTGCAGGCTGCCCTACTCGAGCCAGAGCCTGTAGCGTCTGCCCCCGCACGCGCGCTGCCAGTGTCTTGCAAGCATGTGTCGCCACTCATTGGCCCGCGGGCTGGAATTCTTGTGCCCCCAATGGCCAAGGTGGGACTGCTCTTCCCAGGGCAGGGCTCACAGTATGTGAAGATGATGGCAGGTGTCAAGGACATACCAGCTGTGAAGGAGAGATGTGGACTGAGTATGTTTGGTGACCACGATGTTTCTCTTTACAAGATGAGCAGCGATAGCGTGCAGGATATGCTGGAGAAGGCGAACAACATGTTGGACTTCAACCTTTTGGATCTTTGCCTCAAAGGACCTGAGCCAGAGTTAGAGCTCCTCGGCAAATTGAAGGGAAGGTAGCCAACATGAACCTTTTGCGGAAGAGCAAGGTCGTTCTATGTCATTCTCACCTGAGGCGGACCAAAGCCTGCCAGCCAGCAATGTATGTAGCCGGCCTTGCGGCTGTTGAGAAGCTGAGAGCAGAGAAGCCAGAGAAGGCAACGGGTGACATTGTGCCATAGGTGCTTTTGACAGTCACTCATATGTTCAGACGATTTGCCAGACGATGTGCTGTCAGGAAGGTTTTGGAAGTCGAGTGGGCTTGCATGGATGTCAGGTCGAGCGCTGCCAAGCGGTGGCAGGCTTGTCCTTGGGAGAGTACACGGCCCTCACCGTGGCGGGAGTCTTCGACTTTGAGACTGGTCTGAAAGTCGTGAAGTTACGTGGTGAGGCCATGCAGGCTGGATGAGATGAAATAAAGAGATGCTATGTGTCACAGACACGCAAACAAACAAGCACACACCACCACCACCGCCACCACCACCACCACCACCACCAACAACAACAACAACAACAACAACAAAGAGCACCATTGTGTCCAAGCGGCAAACCATGCCAAACCCTTGAGGCCGTCAGGAGGCCAAAACACGTATTTTTGACACTTTCTGCAGGAGGCTGCCGAAGCGTCTCAGCAGGCAATGCTGTCGGTGGCTGGACTGGACAAGGACAACATTGATTGCATGCATGCACTTTGGTGAAGACGCGTATGCATGTGCAGTTGCATAAACTACACACACATCTACACATCATTACACAGGCACATGCATACGTATATGCACACAATTGCACACACACACATATTGACATATTGCATTCTGCTTCGTGTGGTCGTTTGCAGATATCATCCATCATTCATTTTGGTGGATCATTCGTGTGACGAGAATGGGGGTGCGATATTTCGTTGTTATATATTCCAGATTTGACCCTGAGTTAGTGGAATATATTTCTGGGAATATTCGTATATGACGGACCTTTTTTTGCTTAGAGTATGCTGAGACCTCCGTGGGGGCATGATCTGGAATATTTTTCAAATAGGTGTCCTGCCAAGGAGCATAAATTTGGTGTTGCTTCTTTTCTTGAATGATGTATATATGCAGTTTTTCTCAGGAATATTTTTGTACTGTATGTTATCATGTGCAGCCATCATGGAATATATAATAAACTGACATTTATACAATATCAATATTTGCATGTGAATGAGTCCTGGATTATTTTTGGATTTCCATGTGCAATCATACCAGAACATTTGCTAAAATATTCCAAGGGGTTTGCATGGGGGGGTATCCAACGTACCCTCCATTGACGAGATGTTGGTCGGTGGGATCAGTTGTTTCTTGTTTGTTCCCTCACACAGCGATGCTTGCTTCAGAGAATTGTTGGCGTTATGTGACTCACTTGTTGACAGCACTAACATTCTCATGCAAATGGCTTTGTGCTCGGGCTACTCCAGGACACGCTAACGAGACTTTGTGCAGAAGCCTGTGAGGGGCCAAATGATGTTTGCCAGGCGTAGCAGCCTTGCGTCGCCTTTGCTGTCAGTTTTTGATTTGCCGAGTTGGACATACCAAGACATGTAGGTTGCCAGTATTCCCCTTTTTTAAGTTTCCAGACTTTCCATTCTATATAAAGTGTTGCAGTGGTTTCCCCCATGCAAGAGGAGGGTAAGGTCAAGTGCCGATAGTTGCTGATGGCAAGGGTATGGTGAAACTATTCTGTAAACAGATTGTTCATTTTCAGGTGGCAAACTTCCTTTTCCCGAACGGTTTCTCCTGTGCTCCTTGGCGATTGTGGACCAGTGACATGTTTTATCTCCTCGTAGTTGCATTACACACATACACAATGCCAATAACAGCTACTGTAAATATTACTCACTTCCTTCGGCTTAAGGCCGGGACCCTGGCAGCCATCCAGCGGCTGGAGCCTAAGGTGAAAGCTACAGCCCCTTGGCGCCAGAAGTGCTAGGGCTGTGTGTCGTGCGAGATGGGATGCAACTCCTGATGATGTGCACACGACATGAAAAAGAAGGTGTGAAACAGAACATGCCTTGGTTCGTGGTTGACACTGTGTGCAAAGGAAGGGTGCTTGCAAGCCAAAATGCTGAAGACCTCTGGTGGCTTTCACACTAAGCTTATGCAGCCAGCGCGAGATCCTTTGCTGGAAAGCTGTGGTTCAGAGTTAGCGTCGAAGCTTCCAGGGTTACCGGGTTGGAGCGGTAGGGTTCTTTGTGATGTTCTTTGTCCATCACCCAAAGGATAAGCTCTTAGATGCCTTGCAAGATGCTCTGCCAAAGATGAAGCCGCCACGTTGCCACCATGGCTGCAACAGCTGCAAACAAGCCACTTCTTTATCCGGGCGCAAGATGCTTTGAGAAGCTTTCTGGATACTCTGTATTGGGTCACTTAAAGATGCCCGTATGTTGAGTTGTATTGTTGAGCAACACACCACATTTGCCCAGGTGACGTGTACATGAATGTCACAGGCAAAAAGATTGCAGCGGGAACGCCGCCTGCAGAAATTTGGCCACTTCTTGCAGATCAGCTTGTGAATTGTGTGCAGTGGGAGCCTTCTATCCTGGCCATGATCCAGGACACCTGTTTTGAGCAGATACTCTCTCTTTGACATTATGTCTTATTGATGTACTCGATTGTTGAAAGGACGGGGTGTCGGAATACTATGAGTGTGGGCCCATGAAGCAGCTGAAAGCAATGCTGGTTTCTCAGGTGAGTAACCTTTCCAGCACAGTTGTCGACACCAGTGCCGCCCGGACCTCTATTATGAGCGGGTAAGACGCTCACAGCTAAGGATGAAAAGGATTGATTCCAGTGCCTTTGCAAGCACAACCACTATCGACGTTTGACTTCTGAGCAGGCGCTTTCGAGGTTTGAATCGTGTTTCGCGTCAACAACAATTGAAGCCCAAATATCCTTTGTTCAATTGGAAAGTTTCACAGCCGGGACTGGCAGATGAAGGGGCTGAAAGATGAAGAATGTATGAAATGACTAAGACCTTCAGACAGTCCCCATCTGGACTCTTCCTGGAAACCGGCATTAAAAGGCGCAGCGCTGCGGCTTTTGCCTCACAGACCAAAGTTGTGTATGCAAAGTGTAGAGAATACTTGGCAAGAATTGGCGGTACGTGCTAAGGACTGAACTTTGCTTTGTTGAAGGTGACTTACACTGCCCGAAGCTTGTGCGCGTACCCGTGAATGTCATGGGCATATTCTTTTTCCATAGTGCCATCGTATGATATTGTATGCCATTGTGATATGCTTATCACGAAAGGTAGCGGTTACGCTACCTGAGTTTTCCTTTTGCTTTAGCAAAAATGTATTAACCCAGAGCTGCAGCCTATCTCTCGGAGAAATGGTCCCCGACATCTTCGTTTGCTGGCCTTTCAACTCCACCCTAGCGCGCCTCGGGGTCAACCGTTCGAAAACACTGTAAATATCAGTGTTTTCTCTTCCAGTCCTCAGCAGTGACCAAAAATCATGGAATTTACAGCGTTTTTTGTGGCTGTCCGGCAAAAAAACACCGCAAAAACCGATGGTTTTTGATGCGTCTCGGTTAGAAAAATGACCGAAAAAAGACCAAAAACCAGGAAAGATTTTGTCAGAAAGGGTTTTTGAGGCTTTTGGAGGCTTCAAAATTGCACAAAACTATGGTATTTACAGGGTTTTGTGCACCTTCCCGGCAGAAAACGCCGGTATTTACACGGTTTTCTGCGCTTTTCCAGCGCTCAACCGTGGTGCGCCTTTGGATCGACGGCTACAAAATACCGTAAATACCAGTGTTTTCAGCTCCTCCTGTCTTCAAGCGTGGCCTTAGACCTTGCCGCGGCTGTGGATCGACGGCAACGAAACCTCGTAAATACCAGTGTTTTTGAGCACGTCCTGTTTGCAAGCATGGCCTGCGGCCACGCAATTTACAGGGTCGCCGCGCGTCACTATGTAAATCCGAAGTTGCATTTGAGAAATATGTGACTCCTTTTGAAGGCAGGTCAACCTGTATTGAAACCGCTAGACCGCTACAGCTTCTGGAGGTTTTGTCAAGCGTTTGTGCATTAGTTTTTCTTTCATCAGGCTCACTCACTTCTCTTCAAACAAGTGGGGGGCCTCTCACCTCCTCCCGGATTACGCCTGATTCCCTGCTACCTTTCGTTCACCACCCTCCTCTCTCAAGTCTCATGTGTATGTATTAGGTTGGAGGCTATCGCTAGGTGTCGGCTCGAGCGCCTCCCAGGGGGTACACCGGGGCGGGCAGATGGCTCGAGAGGGCCGCGGGATCACGTTTGATCCAGAGCCATGGCTTGCATCGTGCAAGGACGATGTATGCGTGGCGGTTGCTGGAAAAGCATGGTTTTATGATGAAGATAAATTGGTCCACCACTGCACGACCATGCTCCATGGACAACCCTTCCTACTCAAGGGTATGCAGCTCCCTACCGACAGGTTCACCATTGTTGGAGGTGTGAAATCCACCTTGTTGGGTACGCCGCTGATTGATGCAAGGGATGCAGTCCTCAAAGGACATACAATGGTTTCCAACAAGGCCGTGACCGATGTCATCGACGTCTGCTCGGGTTATGCTGTCATGACTGCAGGGTACAGATGGCTCAATTGCAAGGTGAGGTGCCATGTAGAAATCAATGATAAGTATGCATCCTGGCTACGAACCACAGGGGCACACGTCATCGAAGGAGACATCGATTGCATAGCCACCCAGCAGGCTTTGGTTCCTCACACCAAACTGCCTTGCATCATCACCGGAGGTTTCTCATGCCAGCCTTTCTCGCAGCTTGGGGACAGGCGGCAACAGCTTGACCCAAGGGCAAGGAGCTTTGAAGGGATGCTGACCACCTGCTACGTCCACCAGCCCATGGCCATGATTTTGGAATGCACCAAAGAAGCTTTGGATTCGGCGTGGGTACAAGGGTCACTGCAAGCCTTTTGCGCCAAGACTGGGTATACACTCCAACAGCAGTTGTGCCACCTGCAGGACTTCTGGCCAGCCAAGCGGACACGTTGGTGGGCAGTGTTGGTACACCCCATGGTCAAGATGCCTCCGCTGCAGAGTTTCCCATCCTTGGACTTCAAGCCGTCCTTCCGACACTTACTCCCAAAGCTGCCACTTTGGCCGGAATCACAAGTACAGGAGATCCGACTGACAGCACATGAGTTAGAGATCTTTGCAGAGCAGCCTGGGGGGCTGGGGAGCAATGCCGTGTGTCCAACTAAACCACTCGCTACAGCCCTACATGCTTGGGGATCTCAGTTGCAAGCCTGTGCATGCGGATGCAGAGCGGGAGGGTTCACCCCCAAAAGGTTGGAGGAAAAGGGATTGTATGGTGCTTTGATACCCACTACAGGTTCGACCATTGTCAGGGGACATGAAATCCAGAACATGCGTCATGTGCACCCAGACGAGGTGGCCATTTTGCATATGGTCCCAACACGTCACTTGCACCAAGGGAGCAGTCGCCACCTTCGACTCGATCTCACCGCACTCGGCCAGATGGCCTCGCCGGCTCAGGCATTGTGGCACGTGGCCCAAGTCATCCAGGCCTTTGGACAGACATTCGGGGCTCCGACGCATCCCAAGTTGGCCGAACAGGGCCTTTTACAGTTAGCGATTGAAACTTTCGCAGCCAGGGATGAACTGTTGAAGCCTTTCGCTCATTCCAAAGAGTCCAGGCTGTTTCAGTCAGCAGTCTTAGCCAAGCTAGGTGCAACCTACGAAGGCCCAATTGTCACAGTAGCAAGCTCCGCAGAGTCCGCCAGAGAAGCACCGTCGCAGGTAAGTACTGATCATAAGCGAAAAGCTTTTGCAGAGCATGTCCATGCAGCCGATGCTGGTCCGCCCCAAGGGGTGTCGCCAACAGGGGGCATAGAGTTCTTTGCCAACAAATCCCGGAAAGCTGCACACACACCGGATATGCCATCAGGTCAAGAACCATTGCTGTCGTCTAGCTCTCAGGTAGTCCAAACTCAGTCCGTGATTGAGGCCACCAACAAGGGGATCGAGACCTCCAGGGGAAAGGGCAAGGGTGGCTCTGTTGGGGGGCATTTTGGGGTTGACATGATTCCAATGGCTCGTGCATTCAAGCAGGTTCCGGACCTTGATGACTATGACTGTGAGCCCCCCAAGTGGCCAAATGATTGTGGCGCAGGTGCCCTACAGACCATGCCAGTTGATCCCAGGTTTGACACGGCCCCAAAAGAGCACCTAGAACAGGGCAAGCAATTTGAAGACTCGCTTGAAGAAGGCCCATTGGGACAATTCACAGCACCTACGGGGTCCAGCGAACTCGCCAAGAGTGATTTGTTGAAGCTCATGCCAAGTGATCAGTTCCATGTCACAGTATGTTGTAAAGGGAACCAGCCCGTGCATGTCACCGTTTGCCCAGGTACCACAGTTGGACAGCTTTCGCAAGCAGAGGAAGGCCTAGCTTCGTTTGTACAGCCGATCGTCATCACCACAATGACGGGAGTACCGCTCCCGCTCAGCAGCTGGTTAACACCATCCACATGGTACGTAGTTGACAATGGTGCCAAACACGTTGTCCCCAGGTGCGCAGACGTCCATGCCGAGCCCTTTCGTTACCTGACGCTCACCTGTCTCGACCGCTTTCAAGGCCTATTGACACAGGGCCCATTGGTTGCTGTTGATGAAATGAAGTTCTATGCTTCCATGGTTCGACACCAAGGGTACCAAGTTGCTGACCCCGTCGTGGTTGATGATCTAGGGAACCAAGCCCAAGAACTAGCAACCTGGGTTTTGCAAGCTCTCCATGCCCATGAATGCGATGTCGACCAACGGTTGTTCATGGTCCCGGTGTTGGTCCAAAGCCATTGGTTTCCTGCAGTCCTCCGTGTACTGCCAGACTGCAACCAGCTATCTGTCCCTCATGAGGTCGCACGTCAGGTTCAAGAATGGATCACGCAGTCCTGTGGACCTTACGAAGTTTCGGTAACTGCGTTCACGATGCCGACAGTGTTTGCTGCCGATTGCGGTTTCCAGACACTCAACTGGTTTTTTGCACAGGTGGTAGGAACATGCCATCCCAAAGCAGTGACGCCAGCTCAGGCCGACAATTGGAGGGTCCTATTCGCCAATCATGTACTGAAGGTCGACCAGGTCCCGAGCCATCGCATTCGCTTAGGAGGCACTTTAAGTCCTGACCAGCTGCTGTTACAGTCTGTCCTGGCGCAACATGGAGTTGACAAAGACCGCCTAGCAACATGTGCAACACATCTCATTCAACAATTAGGCCTTGAGGACATCAATAAAGCCTTGCAGAGTTCACAGCCTTGGCGAGATCTGAAAGCCTTAGCTTCGCAAGCGTCGCCACCGATACGGATCGTCTTGGCCTCAGAGATTGACGCTGCCGTGAAAGCCCGATTGGCCTCCAAGAAGCCCATGGGATCCAAGGCAAACAAGACCAAGGGACACAAAGGCCAGCGACAACATGTGATCCCTACTGCTGACCAGATCAAGCTCCCAGATGGCATATTTGTCCAACAAGATGGGCAAAAGCTAGCGGCCATTCCCATCCACAAAGTTGAAGCTCATGCACAGGGAGTTGCAGTCTGCAATATCCATGAAGTTCAGCACCTGCTGAGCCTTGCTGGACCCATCAGTAGCGAAGGAGTGGCATTGCTGATTCTCGAACATGATGATCCTAGTCTGCCACCGAAAACGGAACAGATTCGCATCCCAGCCATGTCAGCAGCCACCAGTGAACCCATGTTGGTCTCCGCCGCCATGTTGCAGCTCGGGTCCAAGCCTGT